TTGCAGCGTGCATCACTGTAATGCAAGAGTAATGCACAATGCAAAGAAGGCTACAGAATGGCGGGAAACACTTTTCTGCACGTGGGTTCTCCATAACAACAGAACACTCCGTCGTGCAAAAGATCTCCAATTCGGCGGGAACATAATTTAGCGGTGCCGAAGCACACACAATTAAAAAATCCACAACTTTGGGTTGTGACATGGGGTAGTTGTATGTCCTTGCCTATTTATAGGACACAAGCATGACAAGCTAACCCACTGGGAGGGCACTAGCTACCTAAAGGGTCTCACTGCTGAGGCCTTGATAGGCCCAAGAGCTCTCCCCCATTTTGAGGAGTTGTTATAGTGACCTAGCAGGGAGGATGGGCCACGGTAGGGAAAAAGTACCTCCCATCCCTTCGATGTGTCCCACATCTCATTCCTGACATGTGGCAGCACAGCACAGGGAGCTCAGGTTCCAGGTCCCATCGGACTGCAGGCCACCTAGATGACAGAGATTGCACCCAGGACAATCATTGCATGCAGATCTAAGTAGGATGGAGGCCTTTCTCTGTTTTGGTGCTCTCTAGCCCTCCCAATTGGCATTGTTTTTAAAGTCTTACTAATGAGGCAAAAATACTTTTTGTCATGCCCCAGTTCCAGGAATTTAATGAGGACTAAACTAGTGGCAATTAGGCTGACACAGTGTGTGTACACAGCACTTTAAAGGAATCAACAAAGAAGTGGGGAGGGAGGCTTTAATGAAGCATGTTCAATGTACACCAGCGGATGTGGAAAGTACCCCTTCGTATAAGGGTTCATCTAGGTTCATCTCTTGGCAGGAGCTGCCACTGCCCCAGTTCCTCTGCTTCCCCATCTGTAAGAAGGGGTAATAAGAACAATAGTGACTCCCTTTCTAAAGGACTGCAAGATCAACAGATGAATAGCAATAGCTACACACCAGAAACTACTGTTCCCCTCCCCTGTCCTTTATGTGGCCACTTACCTGAGGGCTGGGTGGGTGCAACATGCTCATACATCAACAAATGGCATTCAACCGGCAGCTTGCAGGGCAACAGCAATTCCCAGCCAGGCCCTCAGTCAGCATCTGTCACAAATACTTAGAGTGACCCTGGTAGCTACCACTAAAGCACCTGTATCCTGTCCTTTCTCCAGCAGTCCTGGGGATTCTCCTTGGCAGGGGGTGTTTTCAGAAACTTACCTTGCTAGCCATGCAGTGTAGCAGTTCCCTGCGGCACTAACGTGGGCACAGCAGGCAGAGGGACCATGTTCAGAGGAGATGCTACCAGCAGCTTCACAGGCCACCCCTGCATTAGGGGTCTGTGACAGGACAGCCCCTGAGCTCAGGGCTGGAAACTGCTGGGCCTCCAGCTGGGCTTACAAAGCAGAAGATCTTTATGTCTGCCACCCCTTTGGGCATATTCTGCCTGCAGCAGTTAGCCTTATCCCTGGGTCAGCAAGGAGGGGCATAACCATGAACCCAGCTGCAGCCCCAAGCCAGGCCTGCCATGCTTCACAGAGGCCCTGACAGGACACAACCCCTCCAGAAGACCCAGGCCCATCTGCCCTAACCTCCAGATCCACTCTAATTCCCTCCTCACCACCTGTGAGCTGGGCTCTGCCCTTAAACCCATCTCTCCAAGATGACACTTGTTGCAGGTATAACAGGCCAGAGCCAACTGAGCCCACAGTGACCCTCTAACCCTTTCCTGGGCAGCATTGGGGTTTGCATAGCCTATCACAGGGTCTTTGCCCTTTCCTGGGGCAGAGGGATCTGAGGGCAGGCAAGAGGGGAATGCAGTCTTGTGTTGTGATGTTCTGCCCAGTTTAATCCATGTTCTGGGGCTTGATTAATTAGAACAAATCATTAGCATATTGAAGAATAACAGCAGTAATAAGAACAGCAGTGTTTAACCAAGGAAGTGGTATGGAGTGTTCTGTAAGAAACAACCCTGCCTGGTTCCTGATGCCAGACCCCAGTGAACTTCCTCCTAGGCCACCAAACCCCTTACGCTGTCCCAGACATACCTCCTGGCAGCTTCAGTCACCCTCAGTCCAGAGCTGTCTCCCTCTGTGCTTTGCACCTAACCAAGTCATGGTCACTTTTCTTCGTCCCCTCGCTCACTCAGCACAGCCTGTGGAGCTGGAGGGGGAGGGATGGGGGCAATGGAGCCACCCTATACACGTGCCCAACACCTGCTATGATGTGTTTAAATTAGGATGTGTCAGAGCAGACTTGATTCATCAAGTCTGCCAGAGCATAGTGATTAGCACACTCCAGCAGCCTCGGCATCATGTGTGTTCAGCGTCCCTGCACTTCGAAATGGTGGCAGCAGTGCTTTAACTAAAGCTTGTTGAACCAGCTTTAGTTAAAGTGGCCCCCATCACCATTTTGAAGTGTGGGATGCTGAATACATGAGATGCTGCAGGTGCTTTAATTAGAGCAGCTCCTGTGAGGGCAGGGAGGAGCGTTCCACTGGCCAGAAAAGGCCCCCACAGCTGGGGCAGCCAAGCCAGACCCTCCCCCAAAATCATGATACAATCTCCCCGCTTCCCCTGTGCCCCCATCTCAGCAACATGTGGGCATTTGCCCTGATAGCCACTGGCGCTGCATTGGGTTCCTCCTTCTCTCAGCAGAGCCCACCCCACCCAGCTTCCCTCTAGCTTCAGTGGAGACTGGCTACTGCCACTGCACGTTGCACAGGGGCTGCCAGGCAGGGGCCCCCACCCAGTACCGACTGATGTGCCTGGGCTCCCTCCATGGCTGAGGCCAGCATGGAATCTGAGCTATGGTTGCTAGTCAGCACAAAGACTTTGGTTGGGGCAGGAAGCAGTGCTGAGGCCCATTCTCCTCTCAGGGACTCTCACAGACTACACCCAGCTGGCCCTCCCATGGGCACAGGCCTACCCCATGTACACCAGAGCATTTTATAGAGGAGGAGGGTCAGGGGTATTGGGCATCCAGAGCTGGAGCCCAGTTCTGCAGTTGGTTCTCAGCTCTGTACTGAAGCAGAAACACCTGGGGGTCCTGTCAGGCAAGACAAGTTGGGAGAGGAGTCACAGCTAACCCCACTGTCCGTGCCCGGCACAAAGGGTGCTGTTTTGCACTGTAGAGAATGGTGCAAACAACTGGTTTTGGGACCTTTCTCCTCACAGGGCTGCAGGTGGACGATCCTTGCTGTGGGCTGGACCTCGCCAGAGGAAGAGGGAGGGTGCAGGATGATCCAGCAGCGTTCCAGAAGGCTGGGAACAGGGTCCCTTCCCCTCTCCCATGGGGACACAAGAACAGAAGAAAAGTGCTGATCTTCCTATCTGCCACACATCATGGTAGGCTTGGTGCACTGCAGTAATACGAACCAGCTGCTTGCCCCTCTGGATGAGGCCAGCACTTTCCAGCTGTACTGGGAAAATTGTAATTTGCTGTACATTGCAAATTATGAGGCATCCAGCACCCCATACCTATGCCTAGCCTCTCTCTGTGCCAGCAGAGGGATGAAAGAGAGGGGCCTTGAGAGCTCTTTGCCCCTCCCCACTCCCAGCAGGGTGAGAGATGGGTGTCCTGAGACGATCCCTTCATTTCCAGTGTTCATGTATCCAGTTCAGACAAGGTGCATTGTGTCCATGAGGGGGAGCCAAACCAGCTCATCCTGGCTGAGAGCTTCAATTTGATCCCTCTGAAAGGCAGCCCCCATCCTAGCCTTGTGAGCTGAGCAGCCTACGTCAGGGAAACACGCAAGACTATGGAAGTTTCATGTTTTCTTTATTGTTGTTTAAAAAGGGTTTTTTCTTTCTTTTCCAAATATAGATCTAATTTCAACATATAATTTAAAACTGACCCCTAGCCCTACCACATGTCACAGAAACACAGCCCTGCCCTCTTATCTCATCCTTCACATCAAACATTGAAGGCGACAGAGGCTTGGGGACAGAGATATCGCAAACGGTTCAGCCTGGCAGAAGGCAGGAGAGTCCCAAATGTAGAGGGAAAGCAAAATCCTCCAATCCTGCCACCTGCCACCTGTCCTGCTGAGCTGCCTCACAGACAGCGGGTTCTACTGGAGATGGAGAGGTACCACCATACCTGACTTGCCATCCACTGGGGAAGCAAACAGGTAGAGACAAGCATTCACATCACACTGCAAACCCCCACTGAACTGAGCTGGGAAAATCAGGGGGACCTGAGCTTAGCTACTAAGGTCCTTGTCCAAGTACTCAGTCCCTCACATGCCTGGGTCCCCACAGAGATTACTTAAAGCTACCTAAAAAGATACCCTTTCAATTTGCTACCATCTTTTCTTGGACTCCTGAACTCCCCTGTTCTTAGGTAGGGGCCTGAGCCACAGCCTATTGCAGTGGTCAGCTAGAACATGGATTACAATGCTGATGCTGCTGGTTTTTAACAGCCTAAGCAAAAATTATACCCATGAATAGAATAATTGAATTTTGGGACTGGAAGGGACCTCAAAGTTCATCCAGTTCAAATCCCTGCATAGATGCAGGATTCACAGTTCCTAAACCATTCTAAATAGATGCCTGTCCTACCTGAACCATCCCACCTGTGTCTACCAACCCTTGTTACAGCAGCCACTGGGCCACAGAAAGGCCTGACTTCCCTTTCTAGTCATATATTCTCTTTAGCATGGGCAGGTCATTTTGCAGAGTGGTCCCTCTCCATCAACAGTGTGAAATATATATATATACACTATACAGAGCTACCAGGAGCAACACAGAATACATAAAAAAATCTACTCTTATATACAGTATTTATAAAAAGCTTTCCAGCCTGCACCACTCTGGATAAAAAAATACGTCTCTTATTTACTTAATTTGCATGTATTAACCCAAGAAATCTTGTATTTATTTCATTAATCACAGTGCCATAAAAATATCCACTCACATTTTGTTTCCTGTGCCACCCCCCTCCCCAGTTCTCCTCTCCTTTTAAATTCAGAAGGTGCCCAACACAGCAAAAAAAAAAAGTCAACATCTGGCTTTTGGCACAACCTGAAGATTCCTGATCACATGGAACTGGGAAGCTTTGTGGGGATGGGATGGACAGATGGACTGTGTAAGCCAAGAGGTGGAGATGTGTTTTCAAATGTAAGGATATGGTTTGGGAGCCAGGCAGTCTTATTCCAGGGTAAGGGGTAGACAGAACACTAGGGATCCTGTTGAATCCCTGCCAGTAGGCAAGAACTCTGTGCTCACCTGTGTATGCATGTGCTGGTGGGAAAAACAGTGCCATCAGGCCTGCTCCTGTGCCACTGAAATCAATGGATACCTTCCTAAATGTATGGTCCAGTATGCAAATCTCAGGACATTTAGCTTGTTTGTTCTTGACCCTGCAGCTAACCAGGAGACAAGTGGGAAGGCAAAAGGCAAGAGCATGGTCTTTCCTTACCTTTCCCATCTGGCTCCTCTCTCACTAGGATATTATGCCCCTACCATCTAACACACTGACAGGCTCAGCCCGGAGTCACTTAGCATCATGTACTGGCCTCTGCCTGCTCAGAGCCCCCCACTCCCAGCTTGCGTGGGATGCCTGAGTTTCTTGGACTGTTGTCAACACCCTTTTGTTCCCTAGCTTGTTGGGGAACTGAGTGGAGTAGTTGCTTTGGGTGGAGGATTGGGCATTACCCAGCTACTCCTGAGACATTGCTGGTGGCAACAATTAACAGTGCTGGGCACAGAGATTCACAGGGCACTATTATTCCTTACAAGCACTTCGGTGCCTAGGACCCACTCAAGTCTTACACTGAGGCACTCGAGTTTCTCAGTAAGAGAAACAAACTCCATATTCTCCTATTGCCCATGGCTTGCCCAACTGGGAGGTCAAGGCAAAGCAGCACTTCATGTCACCTCTCTACATGGGAATTCCTCTGTTGCTGGCACTAAGAGGTGTTTCCCCATGGTCATCAGGGGCACTACCATGGGGAAGTTACCATCATTTCATACAGTGTGATCCATGTCCCTACTCCTTGTGTACATATCCACCCTATCCCCTCTGTTTCTCATCCATCACTCTCACTGTGTCCTACTCCACATGACCACACCCAAGAGGGAGTCCTGATCAGTCACAGAACGCCTGCCACCAAGTCTGAAAAGGAGGGCATTAATGGGAAGAGACCTACTTTTATCTTTGACTGTAACTTCCTTAAATGTATTCAAGCAGGATGGAAAGCAATGGCCATGCTGAGCCCTGACATTCATGGGAGCCACAGAGTGATGCCACAGCCTGTCCCATAGGGCATTCAAAAAATAAACCACACACTCTCCAATACAGGCCACTGCCTGTCTACTGAAAGGTATATCCATCTAGAATGGGGGTGGTCAACCTGTGGCGCAGGTGTCACAAGTAGTATGAGCAACCTCTGTCTGTGGCACATGGCAGATCAGGGAGGGGGCAGGGAGCATGGGGCAGATAAGGCAGGGATCAAAAAGCAAAGCAGCAGATCAGGCAGGGAAAAGGATCAGTGGCACTTGGCGAGGGTATGTGCCTTAATTTGTGGCATGGCTGCCCAAAAGGTTGGCCCTCACTGCTCTAGAACATAGCCAATTCACCCTGGCTCTTAAAACAAGCTTCAGCAACATACATGGAAGAGCTGGGGGAGCCAATTAGCCAGGGTTGGCCAGGAGAGGCCCAGCATGCACCACCCACCTCCTGGGGGAATCTGTGGGGATTGCGAGAGCACTGCCAGACAGATATTGCACTGGATCTGTGCTCAACCTACCTGGCCTTACAGCTGTATGAGTAGCATACAACTGGTTCAGTCCCACATGCAGGGTCAGTCCATGGCCTGGGTCCAGCATGGGGCTGGCACATGGATGTTATCCAGAGCATCAGATCCATGCATGGGGTTGGTTTGCAGATGCAGCCTGGTGCATTGGAGCTGACTGCAGAACAATTCTGCATGTTGGCCCAACACCACACATCAGGTCCAACCATGCCTTGAACCCACGTACCAACCCAACTCTATATGCTGGCTCTGGCCATGAGCTGACCCTGTGCACTGACGTGACCTAGTACATGGAGCCATATCATCTGGCTCTTGGGACTCTTCACAGCTCCAGAAATTTGGTTGCGGGGGGATGGTGGCAGTGTTAATGGCCAAGGTTTGGGGAGCAATTAATGCTACCACTGCTCCCCCTGCCATATTTCTGGGCCTGTGGGGAGCTCCACAGACAAGATGACACAGTTCTGTGGGTTAGATATCAAAGCTCTGTAGGCCAGCTCAGCCTGCAGGCCGTACATTGAGCACCACTTCATTAGACCATCTGCTTCCAGAAAGGCGAGTGAACCACAGGGTGACAGGGGGAGTTCATAACATCTTCAGAAATCTACCTTGCTGAACCCCAGTGCGAGGAAACCTGTCTGGGACCACACAAGTTCTGTAATCAGCTTAAGAAGATCTGAATGCTGGAGTCCCCCACCAGCTAACAGAGGCACACAGCTTCTGAGTTCATTGATGTCAAACTTCTGCAAGACTGACTCCTACATGTCCAGAGCCCCTGCCCCTAGATCCTGACTTAATTGACTTCAACCAGCAATTCCTGTTGGAGAGCCTTACCCCACAAAAAAGGGCAACCACTGGTATAACCCCATCTCAATGTCGGGGGCAAGATTTGAATCAATAGACACTGCTGGTTGAACACAATTAGATGGATACATACCTAAACTAAGGAAGTACGGTTAAATTAATACACTGTAAGGTAGACAGAAAACTGACTGGATCATTGGGCTCAAAGGGTAGTAATCAATGTCTCAATGTCTAGTTGGCAGGTGGTATCAAGTGGAGTGCCTCAGGAGTCGGTCCTGGGACCGGTTTTGTACAAAGTTTTCATCAATGACCTAGAACAGTGCTTCTCAAACTATCTGATGTGGCGGACCGGCAATTTTTTTTCCAGTGGGCCAGGGACTGGTGCCTGGTTCAGCCGGTGGCAGCAACTGCGTGTAACAGCGCTACACAAATGTACGACCAGTTGTTTCTTTCTGTTTCCTCACCTTGCATGACGTGACATCACCTGGAGTGTTGGAACGTACAAACTGTGGCGCTATGACATATCAATGTTATGCTTCTGAAAATATATTTCTTTCTTTCCTGGCAACTCGCTGCGGACCGGCGAATATATTTTTCTTTCCTGGTAACTCGCTGCAGACTGGCAACCGGTGGCTCGTGGACTGGCACTGGTCCACGGACCACCACTTTGAGAAGCACTGACCTAGAAGACAGGATGGAGTGCACCCTCAGCAAGTTTGAAGATGACACCAAGCTGGGAGGAGTAGTAGATACACTGGAGAGTAGGGCTAGGATTCAGAGAGACCTCAACAAATTGGAGGATTGGACCAAAAGAAATCTCATGAGGTTCAATAAGTAAATGCAAAGTTCTGCACTTAGTATGGAATGATCCCATTCACTGATACAGGCTGGGAACCAACTGATTAAGCAGCAGTTGCAGAAAAGGACCTGTGGGTCACAGTGGGCAATAAGCTGAATATGAGCCAATAGTGTGCCATTGTTGCGAAGAAGGCTAATGGCATGCTGGGCTGCATTAGTAGGAGCATTGACAGCAGATTGAGGGAAGTGATTCTTCCCCTCTATTCAGCACTGGTGAAGCTGCATCTGGAGTCCCGTGTCCAATTTTGGGCCCTCCACTACAGAAAGGTTGTGGGCAAACTGGAAAGAGTCCAGTGAAAGGAAATGAAAATGGTTAGGAGGTTGGGACACATAATGTATGAGGAGAGGCTGAGGGAACTGGGCTTATTTAGTCTGGAGAAGAGAAGTCTGAGAGTGCATTTAATAGCAACCTTCAACTACCTGAGGGGTGGTTCCAAAGAGGATGGAGCTAGACTGCTCCCAGTGGTGACAGATGACAGAACAAGGAGCAATGGTCTCACGTTGCAGCAAGAGAAGTTCAGGTTAGATATTAGGGGGAAAAAAATCATGAGGAGGGTAGTAAAGCACGGAACAGGTTCCCCAGAGATGTTGTGGAATCTCCATTCTTGGAGGTTTTTAATACCCAGCTAGACAAAGTCTTCGCTGGGATGATCTAGTTGGGGATGGTCCTGCTTTGAGCAGGGGGTTGGGCTAGACGACCTTCTGAGGCCCCTTCCAACCCTAATTTTCTGTTATTCTATTCCTCTTCATTGCATTCCTTGCTAAAAATAGTTTACACCTTTTTGCCAGCTTGCTCTCAAGTTTAGCCCAACAATGATTATTACTAGCATGGCCTGTTTCAACTACACAGTTTTCTGCATACTAAAAGCTAAAACAATATGATATTTTTCTGCATAAATAAAAGCTATTAACATGGTTACCCCAATACTATGTTACCCCAATACTATTGCAGTTAAACCTTTGCTAGTGCCCAGGGCTGTTTCCAGATGTGGGGTGGGGTGGGGTGTGGTGTGAAAGCCCCATATTTCCCACATGTCCAAAAACAGCCTAAGGAGTTGTATGGTTCTGTTTTCCCATCTCCTCAGTCAACCAGATACAGGCTACTTACAGAAGGAAGTGCTTGTTGCAGGGAGCCTCAGCAGGCATCTTGAACTTGGACTGACCTTGCATCCAGATATAATTCCTAGTGGGATGCCTTCCACTTGAGAGCTGAAGAAGATCTAATAAATACGACTAATCAAGGATAGGTCTAAGTAAACAGATCCTACTGACTTTATGCAAAAGGGGTTGCTAAGGGCCATATGTATTCATCCCAAATTCAAGGTGACAGCCAAGTGAGTTTCATGCCATTGGAAGCTCTCCACACATCCTCTGGTCACTGTGGTATTAAAGGACTCCTTTTAGCCTAGGCACTAGCTGTAAAGTCAATAATACAATAATAGTAACACACACACACACACACACACACACACACATATAGACATAGAGAAAATAAATTAACATAGATTCTACTAAGTTATTTAGATTAGCAGTAAATCAAGTTTAGTCACTGTTTAGATTTCCATATGGACTCAGTGGTGGGACTACACTTCCCAGCATTCACTGCCAACTTCCAGTGGGGCATGGCACCCTTTTACCAAGTGAGGGAACCCTGGTGAGAAGGGGGAAGTGATGGTAACATGTCTCTTGGTGCTGGAGGGAAAGGAGAGAGCTCCCATTGTGGATGGATGGGAAGGACCATGGCTCCTGGCTGGGATAAGCACCTGGGGCTGAGATCTGGACTGGGATAGGCCTCTGCCCAGGCATGCCAGGATAAGAAAAGGTATTTGGGACACTGACACTACAGGACGTCAAGGGAGCTCTTCTCATTCCTATCCCTGGAAGACAGTGGAGACACCCTGTTAGTGCTATTGACAGGGCCTCTCCCTCCCATCCCTTCTCCAGACCAAGCTTGAGGTTGGACCAGGAAGAGAAGAAAGGGGCAGACAGGAAAGGTCTGGAGTTGCAGCTCCTGCTTCCCTCAAACTGGCCAGCCTAGGGCAGTGCTGAGCACTGCAGAGCATGCAGTGTGTGACCTGTTCTCATGGGGATGTCCCCACCCCACAAGTCTGCTCCAAAGTCCAAACTTGGCATCCAGCTAATCTGGAAAGAGGACAGAGGCAACTGGGACTCATCACCTGATCTTCCCTTCTTGAACCTTAGCACTCTGCCTCCTTTCCCATTAGTGTAACCCGTTGCCCTCCACTCAGCAATCCTCCTCTCAGCATGGACACATGCTTATGAAGTCATGGCTGTGGGCATCAGCAAAGAAATGCACGACCAGGTCAAATGCAGCAGCATGGCGATCACAAGTGAGTCAGACCAGCTGGACATCACCCAGAGCATGAGGTTGCCCCTCCCTCTGCCCTTAAAGGTGACATTGATCATCAGGCTCTGAATGTCTTTATATGGCTGTGCATCCCTGTGGAAGGGACAAGAAAGCTCAGGAAAAGAAAAATGAGAAGCAGGAAGTGACACTGCTGCAAATTCAGGCCCCACCCCTTTTCATTTCTTTTTGCCTAGGAGGTGCTTGCTGACAGGAAGTACTCTCTGTCTGCTTCATGTGTCCCTTCCTGCTCAGCAGCCTTCGGTTCCTGTTTGCAGCCAATCTATAATAACACTTTGCCCTCCTAGGTGTCCAAAATCACCAGACACTCCACATAAAAACTTGGATGAGGTTAGTCTCACAGCCAGCTCCTGGTGAGGTAGGGAAGTATTATTATCCCCATTTTACAGATGGGGAAACTGAGGCATGGAGAGTTGTGGAGACTTGCCCAAGGTCACCGAGCTGGTCAAAGGCTGTAGCCACTAGACCCTGCATCCTCTCCTCCCTCTGGCTTCTGATTTTCCACTCCCTTGGCACTCGTCTTACACACAAAGGGCATTGTCTCTGGAGGCCCAGACACACCCAGCATGGCTGTCCCCACTTCCATGGGATTGCTTTGATCCCCCGTGTGAGGGTCACTGGATACGACTGGACTGAATGATCCTGCAATCAGGAAATTACAATAAAGACAGAGGGCCCCAAGTGCATCCCTGGCTGGCAGCATGGCTCAGCGTTGGCATATGGGCTGGGACACCGTACAGTACTAGCAGTGGGGCAGGGGAAGGGAAGTATATCAAAGCCAGCTGCTTCTCCCAGGGCGCTGATCCATGGTGCAAAGCTGGCATAGGCTCTAGGGCTGGTTAGTGACTGCCGCCGCTCTTGCCACCTCCTGTTGCCCAGTCAATGATGATGAAGCTGAGGCTCATGATCATGAAAAGTACGCCAAGGCACGCAAAGCAGGCTGCCTGCATGGAGAGATAGACAAGCACCTCAGGAACTGCTCACCTGGACCCCTCCCTCCTCCAGACACAAAGCTCCACCTCTCCTGAACTTAGGAGGGGTTACACTGTATCACTGATCATGATCACTGTGCCCCTAGCTGCAGTGCCTCTGATGGCAAACCCAACCCACTGGATGTAGTTCTGTGCACAGGAAGGGCTTCTACTGGCCTGGCTGGTTTCAGGGAAGTGGAAGGAAAACCCCTTCTGCTGCCATACATGGCAACTCCACTAGGGTCTCTGCTGCTATAGTTGTGGCAGCAGCTCTGAAATGTATGTAGATAACCCTAAACAATTATCTCCCCCCCACAGGGCCACCCACATCAGATGCTGCTCTTATGGACTTCGACCCTCTGCTACTCCCACCAGAGCCAACAGGAGCATGATTCATCTCCCACAGCCCACAGAACCCAATGGGGTCCCCTCTGCTTAAGCCAGCTCAGGTGCAGAAGACGTACCAGGATCTTGGGGGTGGACTTCATGGGCTCCTTGTCCTTGGGCATGATGCGGATGTAGAAGATAGCAGGGAAGATGAAGATCAGGCAGGGGGCCGATGTTGCACCTGGAGAACATTGGGAAGGAGTGAATGTGGGCAGGCTTTCCTCCAGAGTCACTTCACCTGGAGCCCAGTCCTTTGCTGGGCACTGGCACTAGAGCAGAGTCCCCCTCCAGACCTCATTTAGCTCTCCTGGAAATCAAGACATCCTGCAGGATTCTGAGACCTGCACCCACCTGCAGGGGCAGCCACATCCTTCCAGGGACCCAGCCTCAAGAGTTAAAAAAGCAGAAAACTAACGGGAGGACAGCAAAAACAACCCCCTTTTACCCTCCTGCTCCCCTTGTGCTGCAAACAAAGAAGAAAGGCACCAGGCTGCAGCTTTGACCCTGGTCCTCAGGACAACAGACACACAAGTACTGGGCTCCAGAGCCCTGGGACAGGTGGACTAAAACCACTCTACCAAAAGAACGAGCGAGTGGTCAGCTTGAGGAGTCAGCAGTGTGGGATGGATCCCTTCACCCCCTCAGTCAGTCATGGCAGCCCCTGGGGGCAAGGCAATCTCACAAACCTCAGCCATTGGTATTAAGACAGCCCCAGCAGGTGAGGCACAGCCCCTGCCCCCACCCTGAACAGCTTACAGTCCAACTGGGTGAGAGTTGGGAAGGGAATCTGAGGCACAATGAGGCAGTGAGTTTCTCAAGGTCGCCCAGCGGATCAGTGGCAGAGCCAAAATTACAACCCAGAGCACCAGTCTCGGGGTCCAAGCCCTGAGCCCACCCTGCCTCACCTGCTCACCAAGAGCAGGAGGGACAGGAAATTGTGAGCTGTGGTGCCTGGCTGCCCTTCCGCCACAGCTAGTAAGTCCTGCTTTCTAGTCCCACTTCAGCCACTGACTCACTTTACAGTCTTAGGGAAATCACTGTGCTTGTCTATGTATCAGGGTCTGCCTGTCCAACAGGAGTCATCCCATATTGGAGAGGATTAAATCCCACATGTACAGGAAAGCCAGCAGGTTCCTCCAGCACATGGGGAAGCCTGCTATGCACTCTGGTCTCACCAGCGACCAAGGATTTTGCATTATGGGGCTGGGAATCTTCCAATTTGACCCAGCATGAAATTCTCCCATTAGTGTTAAGCAAAAAAGTAGATCAAGAACATTAGGAAGGAAAGAGGAGCAAGAAGCATTTCCTGAGAAGATCTGGGGATAATCAGGCTCTTTTCTAGGAAAAACAGTAACATGTCACCAGCAGCATTTATGTCACCAATATGCATCCAGCTTTGAAGATGTGTCAGTGATTCTCAACCAAAGTATCTGGGGCACCATGAGACCTTTTTAAGGGTGCCATGAGGTACTGTGCAATATAAGCCTGTTTGGCGTGGAACACTTACACATGATTCACAAAATAAACCCACAGATTTCAAGCAGGAATCCAGAACATCAAAAGCGTTCTGACCTGCTGTGGTCTTTCTGAGTTCTTTACAACAGAAGAGTTGCTCTAGTATTTTTCTGTAGTCAAAACACAAATGAAAGCTCAGAGAGGGCATTTTCCGAGGGGTGCCTTGAGTCTAATGAGGTTGAGAACCACTGTTATATGGACTGGTCAAACTCAGGTGCTGGTCTGTTGGTGAGTGCTGAGCTTAGTATGGAAGCACTGTCTGAAAGAACCTGGGATGGAAAATGCTATGGGGATTTTAGGCTAGGATCTCAGGCACAAGCTGGGGCTCTGTGGGTACTGGGCTCATGAGGGGGGTCCCAATGTGCTGCCTTTCCTGGAGCTCCACAGCACTCTAGGAAAGCCTGGGGAGGCTTACATGCTAGGTGGCAGGGAGGAGAGACTCACCGATCATGCCAAAGATGCCTAGGATGGAGGGGGCAAAAATGACTAGCAGGTTGATGGAGGTGAGCAGGACAATGGCGATCACAATGTGGCGGATCCAGCTGAAGTCCTTGCCTTGGAAAAGCATTTGCTGGATGGCACGCCGCACCTGCAGGGGAAAAGGTCAGAGCTTGCCCATGTGCCAGCTTTCACCATACCCTTCAGAACCAGATTGTGCCAGTGGTCACTCCTGGTCCTGCTCTCTTTCCCCCAGTTGTGTGAATGTCCCTTCCGAGCCATCTCCATTTCCCACCCACTTACACTGAAGCCACGGGCAGGTTCAGACTATCCTAGGGAAACATCCAGCAGGGAGGGAAGTTCACATGATACCAGGGGTTCAGAATGTGCCACTCCCTGGGGTCAGAGTTCATTCTCCAAGGTCCATCTGGTCTCAGGTTTATTTGATGGGACCACTGATGGGGGAACCAGTTTATGCCAACACTGCCCATGCAGATGACATGGTCAAGGCACCAGAGTTGCTGTTGGATGGGGGAACACCCTCTGAAGCAGGACATGGCTCAGCAATGTGCAAATGAAAGGCCCTGCATTGTGCTGCCCAGCCCTGGGGCCCATGGCTGGCATTACTTACCGGGAAGAGCACAATGGGCACGGTCAGCGTCACAGCAGTCAGCACAGCCACACGCACACACAGGATCAGGATGTCGAAAGGGTCTACACTGTTGTAGGTGTGCAGCAGCTCTGACTCCACATGGCCTACAGGTGCCAGCACAAACCTCACTGTCAAGCATTCCTTGTGCCCCAGGGGGCTTGCAGTTTCCCCACTCCCACCAGGATCAGGCCCACGTCAAAGGGAAACCACTGCCCAGAGCGAGAGTTGGCCAATGTACTTCTGTCATGGCCTGTTCCAGTGTCAGATAAGAGGAACCCACTGGGTCCAGCCAAGTACAACAGCACAGGAAGGACTCAACATGTGCCCAAACATGGCTGCATTTGGTGAGTGACTGAATCAGCATCAGGCAGCCCCATGACTGGGTCAACCCCATGCACTACAGCTCTATCCATCAGCCTGACAGCTGTGGTAGGAGGGCATGCAGCTTTCTGAACCAAACAAGTGGAACCAATGATCCTGAGCTCAGGCCTTGAGTGCAGGAGATGACTGAGTCTGATGTCAAGGGAGTGCCTTGGGGAGGGCCACCACGCAGAGCCTCATGAGGGCAAACATGCTGAAGTTAGAGGTTTCCTCTTTCATAGGCAGGGAGCACCACCCCTCTCCCCAGACTTTGTTACCGAAAGATCTTACCATAGAAAGTGAGGTAGCCAAAGAGGGCAGCCAGGAAGTACATGAGGTACATGACGGTGATGGAGATGTTGGAGATGCACTGCATCTTTTTCTTTGAGGGGCTGAAACATGTCCAGAGCAAGGTTAGACTTTTTGGTCCCTTCAAGGTACAGGTCAGGGTAGACTGAGTTTCCTCTGGCCTCCACCCCTCCCAGTTTGCTCTCAGGCTTTCCTGGACCAGGACCCCTGGCTTGGCCTCTTTCATTTACCTGAATGATAGCTACACCCTCACCCACGAATCAATATGACCAAGCCTAGTGGCCAGGACTCCCAGTGCCTATTTGCCACCTGTGGCCTCTGAATGCCAAAGTAAGGTGCAAATCCTGGGTTCCTGTTGATAACAAGGGTGAGGGTTATACGCCAACTGCCAAGCCAGTTGTGCTAGATCCTACCCATTTGTGCTCAGTAGTGCTGACTGGACAAGCCAAAGACAAGTTTGGCTGGCAGTGAGCACCATGCTTCCCATCCCCCCATCCTGGCATACCAAGTATTGGCAGGGGCACCTCAGGAACTGAAGGAGATGCAGAGCCAGATCTAGCTTTGGTGTGACAGTGTCGGCATTGCACCACGGAGGCCTTTTGCCAACAGTTATACAAGCTGCCCTGTCAGGGCCAGCCTTTCAATGGGCAGAGGGTGGATGGGTCGTTGCCTGCACAGACCTGTCACCACAGAGTGGGTAGGATGGGGTCATGAGTCACAGAGCTGGCTCTGAGGGGCCCCCAGGAACCACTGGCTTGGACTCAAGGCACCCCCTTGCAATGCCACTTAAGGGACACCTGTGCCCCCAAGACAGCCTCTGAGCTCTGTGAGTCCTAGGGTAATGAAGGGCAATCACAGCAGTGGCTCCCATAATGGCTGCTCCCATGCAGGCATTTGACACAGCCACCTGACACGGTCACCCTGCCCATCCTGAGAGGGAAGAACACATCTTGGGGCCAAATCCTCATCCCAGACGCACAGAAATAACCCTGGAGGCCTCCCCCATTGCCTCTAGTGGAGCCTTGCCACCTTCAGGTCCTACTGTGGGACAGGGCACACTTGAGACTGTCCCATCTGCCTGTCTCTGACCCCTGGCACCCTGATGCAGTGCCATAGCCATGCCACATAGCAGTCTGGCCATACTCACTTTATTAGCTCTGTGTAGATGGGCAGCACCTCAGGGTGGCACACGAAGGCAAACGCCATGATGGGGATGGTGTAGGCCGTCTGCAAGAGACATCAAAGCTAAGTGGGGTGGGTGTGAGCTAACAGTGTCAGGCCCCTGTCAGAGAGTGACCCTGGGCAGTCAGCCTGCCCACTGCACACTGGCCTGGATCCCTGTAGCTGGGTGCTTGGTCCAGGGGTGGGGGAGCTCTCCAGAACCCAGGCTAGTTCCAGTCATTGCAGCAGTGACTGCGCTCTCCTGCTGATCATGAACCCCACTCTATATGGTGGTTTTTCTGAAGCTCCACCTCCAGGAGTCACAGGACCAGGTGAGACAATCAACTATCATTTAAAGTATAAGGGCAGATTTCTAGCTGTAGTGATCATAGGCAAAAGCAGGTTGATGTGACTAAAGTGTGAGCTAGGGTTCAGATCCCAAGAGACAAAGAAAGCAAACCCAAGGGTTGTAGTTTTGTGACCCTTTTGATTTTTACACCAAGAACTTTTGAGGGTCAGCTTCCGAAGCTTTCTCATAGTAGTTCAGAGTGAATAGTGTGAATTCCTCCTGCCTGGTGTGCTCAGAGCACTTGCTTGGTTCAGCATCAGGAGGACACTGTGTGCAAACAGTACCAACTGCAGTGCTACTTCTTGGTCTGTGTGGGTGTGTGCATGTGTGCACCCAAGTGTGTGTGAAACAGTGTGACCAGAGATTATGGGCCCTAGAATGCAATGTTCCTTGAACTGAGCAGCATATGTGGGTTGTGTGTATCATATAACATACATTTCATACAACATAACACTGTATGATAATATATCATACAATACATATTATACGGCACATGCTTTTATAAGGCATAAGAGCATAATATATGTACTATGTGCTCATTACAGAGAATACAAGACCCTAAAAGCAATGTTACTGATCCCAGTGGCATATATATATGCACTTGTGTATTTATGGGGGTGAGTAACATGTTCTGGATAGGGTGGAATATAAATCTAAATAACAACAACAAGGGAGACTACAAGTCTCAGAATGCCATGCTCTTTCTTGACTAACAGCAAAAGCATGTGAGTGCATGCATGAAGGTACATGTACACACACATGTGCACATGCACACAATTTCACTGCAACGCTGGTCAAGAAGCAGCGCAGCATTCTGGACCCTGCAGTCTTTCCACTTGAACCCTCTCCCTCATAGGTGAGGGCAGGTGCTATGTGCTCCTGCTTCCAGGCAGAAGACAGGCTCTCAGGCTGCTAGCTAGTTGCTGGCACAGCCTTTTTCTGGATGAAATTACTGCTTCAACCCTAGTGTGATGAATTAATTGAAAGGCCAGGCAAGAGACTGAACCATACCTGGGAGTTGAGTGTGAAGAACCGGGGGGAGCAGGTGCCTTCATTGACATGCTGGAGGGGCGTGTAGCCATTCTGGTAGTCACTGGTGCTGACCAGTGTGTAGCTGAAGTTGCTGGTGCCATTGATGTCCTTCTCGGGGAGCGGACAGGGGATCTGGAATCTCTTGTAGATGACCTGGCAGGAGGGAGAGGAATAGAAACTCAGTCAGCTCCTGACCCCACCAGCCTCACACACCCACCAGCCTCAGCCTCCGGAAGCCCAAGGTGAAAGAGACCACAGGGGTGCATAAGTAACCTCTCCCCAGCCAGGGCCAGACGAGATTCCCCATTCAGTCTAGCAGCTCAGAGCAGCAGAGCAGGGGAGTGGCTTGTCCCCCTTTCTCACTGGCTTCTCAGCCAGGCTTGCCTCATGGCCCAGATTTGCCTGGATGGAAAACTCTGAACAGACTGCAGTCTCTGAGCTCTCACCCTGCCTAATGATCATGGCCTCCGAATCAAGATGGCCCTTGCCTGCCCATGAGGTGGGTGTTTCCCTCCAGATCCTGGGAATCTGCCATGCCTGATGCCGCCTCAGAGCCAGCGTTCCCTCTAAGCTGCGTGGCATGCGTGGCTGCGCAGACATGTTTATGCTGCGCTGCCAGGTGCGCCTGCGTGGTTGCACACACCACACAGCTTAGAGGGAACACTGCTCAGAGCTCAAGGTGTTATATCTTTCTGGTCCCGGTGCTGCTGTGTGTGCCCATTCACTGCCCTGCCTAAGGATCCCAGCAGGATCTGGAGCATCTCACTGATGCTGCCCTCTCCCCTTCACAGATCAGCTGGGAGAGTGAAAGGCACTTTCTGATTGGGGCTCAGTGTGGGTCTCTGCTGCAGCATGAGGACTCCAGCCCTGAACACCTGCCCGTGCGCCAGGGAAGAAAATGACTCAGATCCCATCCAGGCCTTTGACCCACCCAGCACTTTCAGCACTCGCTGTCAGGTGGTGAGATGCCTGGCCATCTCAAGTGTGTGTGTGCCTGCACACGTGCTCACGTGTGCCTGGAGGCCCTGGCTGTGCAAGTATCTGCACGTGTCAGCACATGTGTGTATGTTTTGCTTTCCCTGCCCCGGCCCATGGCCCATCCCCCACCTGCTGGGACTCTTCAGCCAGAAATAAAACAGCAGTCCTGACAAGCTGGGTGGCAGCTTCCCTGTGGGCTGCTGAACTAGCTGGGGTGTCTGCTCCTATTGAGCTGACAGCCCAGCAAGGCATGAACTGTGCAACCCCCTAGAGCCAGGCTCAGCCAGATTGAGCCCTGCTGATCCTTTTCCCCTCTGTGGGCCGGAGGAGACACTTCCCCCAGGCTGCACCCCCTGCCAGCACCAAGCCCCAGCAGGAAGGGCTTAGGCCTCGGCAGTGTGTTTTGGCTGGGGCGACTGAAGCAGGTGCTGAGCTGCCAGGCCCTGTCCTGCTCTTGCTGAAACCAATAGCAAACCTCCAGCCAGCTCTGTGGGAGCACGAGGGCCTGAGTGGATGTCTCAGAGGCAGAGCACATCTCACAGCAGTGCCCTCCTGGCTAGACAGCATCGGCTACAACAGGAAGAAACAGGCTGAGTCTGAAGAAGATGGGAGAGTGACAGACCCAGTGTGCAGGCTTCTGCCTCACCTCTGCGACACCCTCATTCCCTATACACAGCCCCCTACTACGAGCCCCTCAGCCCTGCTAATACAGTCCCAACCCACAGTCTGTTGATATCCCAGCCCTGAGATCCGCTCCCTGGAGCAGATTCCCAGCTCTGCCAGCTCCAATAGGCCCACTGCATGTCAGTGTCCAGCCATTAGCAGAGGGAGGGGTTCACAGTCCTCCTACATGTGAGCTGTGTCAACTTGAAGCCCAGTTCCCTAAAAGTGTCAGTCCAGGTCGCAACCCAACAGAGGTCCCAGTGCTGGTAGCTCAGACACCTGCTAGTCTCTACCCACATGTAGCTGAAACAAGACTGACCATGGCATGCAGGACAGAAACGGTCACAGGACAGGCTCCAGTCGCATTGGGCTGTCATCACAGTGGGACCAGTCTCTCCCCCTGCCCTCTCCTCCTCTTCAGAGCCACTTCAGTGCCACTTAGCCTGCTCACCCATTATCCCTGTGTCAGACCCTCACTGGCAGCCCCATCACAGAGCCCAGGAGCTCCCAGTCATCACCACTGGTGAGATGAAGGTGCCAGGATGGACAGGCAAGGGGTGCTGCCCCTTGAGAGACAAGGCCCCAGTTCCATCATGGAATCAGTGCCAGAGGTGGCAGCATATGAGGGAAAAGGGCCCCTACTGCAGGTGCTGTGGCTCAGTGGGCAACCATGGTGGGTGTGGGAGGGGGATCCCTGGAGCTGGGATGAAGGGAGGCACCCTGGGCAGGCACACTGAGATCTCTCGGGGAGCAGGGGGAGGTGCAGATTCCCACCAGAGCAGCAAGAGGGGTGCACAGTGTGTCCATGGTGTGGCCTGGTACCTATCCAGGTAACCAGTCCCCAATCCCAACTCCTGCCACTGACTCACCGAAATGAGGAAGAAGACCATGCAGCTGAGAGAGAATCCACTGGCATAACCCAGATAGCCTGGAAAGAGAGGACAGCACATGGGTGGGCATGGGAGGAGCTATTAGCTGGGCAGTGCTTTACACAGGGAAGAGGCCACTGGGATGTCCCAGCACCCTACCCTCCAAGGAGCTTGACTATGACTCTGGAGGCCTGTCCCCAGTTGGTGGGACTCACCAGCCCACCCTGGAGACAGCCTCTGCCGTGGCTGAGGTGGGTGGTAAGGGAGTTGCGGCCAACAGGCAGCAGTCTCTGGGGTGGGACGGTGAGACAGTTGGACAACCCCATGGGCACAGGGCTTGGATGGCTGTTTCATGGGTGTCAGGGAGATCCAGGATGGCTGGGGAGCAACTCAGAGCTGATATGGGGAGGGGGCACAGTTGCCTGCTGGGGTGAAGCAGGGCTGTTATGATGTCATCCCTTTGGGGCCTTGACCCCTCCTACATGGGGTAGAGGATGGCCCCCTTGGCTGGCAAAGGGGCTCCAGGTCCTGCTTTCCTGCTCCCTGTCATGCCTTGCTCCCTATCCACTGTGGCAGCTCTGTGCACCCTCCTTGCCACACAAAACATCATCCCTTGGCCAGTTCCCTGGGGGATACTTTCTCCTCATCCTACTACTGGGATAGGCCCATGCACGGGGCGACTTACCGAGTTGCTTCATGAGGGCCAGAGGCAGAATGATGGTGACAGAGACAAGGATCACCAGGTAGTTCCCGTTCATGTACCAGTCCCTGGAAACAGAAACAGGCTGGGTTACACCTCTGCTGCACTTGGAGGCCAAGAAAGAGGGGACCCCAGTGCAGTGGCTGGCAGGAGAGAGTGGCAGGACAAGTGGGGACCCTGTTGCAGTGCCAGGAGCAGCAGGAGAAAGGGTAGTATGTGGCCCCCCACACTGCTGGGGCTGGGGATCCCTGGCAGTAAAATCAAGGTTCCCACTTGCGCCTTCCTCAGGCCTCTGACACGGCACTGGTACCCACATCAACGCTAGCTGTTCTTGGGCCCAGCTGGCTTGCTCAGAGGGAGCACCTGATGCAGTGCATGACCTCCAGCCCCTTTCACAGACCGTAGTGCCCATGTAGGCTTCAATCTGACACTGCAGGCTCTGGGGAGAGCTAGTCTGCTTGAGAAACCAGCAGAGGCCCCACATTCCCAGCCCCTCCCTGCCTCTCCTCCCTTGGGAAGGCCCTCGCCTGCAGCTTCTTCTCAAGCCACAATCCCCATCCTACTCCCCTTTCTGAAGCTGCCAAGCTCAGCAGGGCCCAGGGATAGTAACACCTTTGTGCAGGGAACATTACAGCTGTTGAGGGCTTTTGAAAGCCCTTGTCTGGCTCTGACATGCCTGGAGCTCAGCACTAGCCTCCCCATGTTTCTCAGGACAGCAGTCTCTGCAGGAAAGCCTCTGGGGGTGGTTTCAGAAGCGAGTGTGTCCATCTGCATGTCCTGGATGGCCACATCCTCAGACCCTGTCCTGCATATCTATCTCATCCCCTTCAGTCAGGTGTCAGTCAGAGCACTCCCCAGAGAGTTAATCCTTTGCAGACCAGCACCTCTGACTCTCCAGAGCCACTCCCCCTACTCCAAACAAGGCACGTGTGAGCCCAGCACAGAGTCTTCACAGGCCTCCAGAAAGGTTGTTCTGAAGGGGAAACAAGGAAGCAGGGATTGGAAGTTCACTCTGGTTTAATCCTGTGCCGAAGGCTTATTCAGTACTAGCATCCATCTAAAATAGTAGTGACTTAATGCCGCTAAATCCAAATGATGAGCTGACTGGCCAGAAGCCAGATCTGCAGCTGCTGCGGTGACATTAAGCAGCATAGAGCTGCTGGGAGGAGGGGGTGGGGAGGGGGCCATGGAGAAAATGCACAGGCAATAAGGCGGAAGAGAGGAAATCACTAAGGATTGTGGCTACGACAGATGGGGGAGGAAAGAGCACAGACTGATCCCTGCTGTTACTTTTGCTGTCACCTTCTTCCTGGCTAGAGGGCCTGGGTTTCAGAGCTAAGGCACTGGGTTGGGATGCAGGAGATTTGGGTGCAACTCCAGGCTGGGCAGCTGACTCACTGGGTGAGCAGTGTGGCAGAAATGCCACCGTCGGTGCCCCTCTCCAGAGACCTGTCTCTGCCAGCCTGAGAGGCTGCTGTTGAATCCCTCAGGGCGGGGATCTCCCACCTTGTCTACATGACAAAAGCCTGGTGCCTGAATGCTCTGGTCACCTGGGCAGTGGGGGAAAGCCCGGCCCTGCGCACGGGCCCAGGTAGCCAGGGATGCTTGGTAGATTGGTCGGCTTGTGGCCAGTATTGGCAGCTTCGATTGGACCGGGCTGCTGAGGTCAGAGAGGGGATAAAAAGGCCTGGGCCAGGAAGAAGGGCAGCCATTAGCCA